CAGCCATCAGACCGTGGAATGTGATGACGATGGCACGGGGCACCGGGGCACAGGGACAGTCCGTGGGAAGGCTTCTGCCTGCACAACCTCCCTCCTCTGCCCACATGAGCCATGTGGCCTGTGTGAGCACCGAAACAATTGTTTTTACAGTGCTGGAGTTAGTTATGTCTGAAAGGCTGCCCACAAGCACGGTGAGCAGTGTCATTAGGCTGCTGGCTGGGCACTGGAAGATGGATGTGTTGTTCACTTCCATGCAGGCAGTTAACAGCACAGCTATTTGGTTACATGAATTTACAAGCTTAGCTGCCGAATAGAGGACACCACAGGTTAACAGCAAGGGGTGAAGGTGCTTGTAAAGGTGCAAGCTGAGCCCTGAACCAAGGTGATTACAGCTCACTGGGAGCTCTTGAAACCCATTAGTGCCAGAGCAAGGAGCTGTCAAGATCCGCAGATGAGAAGCCAAGTTTGCAAGCTCAGGGGTGACCAGCCACATGAAGGGAAGGGAATTTGCTTTGCTCTCACATAGTATCTCCCTCGTCTCTCTCCCTCACCAAACAGCCACCTGCAAACCAATCCCTAAGCCTCCTTTGGCAAGGACAAGGAACTCCTAGATCATCCTGCCTTTGAAAGCCACACTCCTACATCCACCCCTGTGCTTCCCCAGATCTGTGGGCGGCATCCCCACACTTGCACACTTGTCAGCTCCTCTCAAGAGCCACCAGAAGGTACTCCTGATCCCTGACCTGGATTAAGCCCTAAGGCATGCAGATCTTCTGTACACTTTGAAAGCAACAGAAAATAATTTTCCCTAATAGGCATCTTATTTCCCCACGCTGTCCTCTCCCCCAAAATAAATAAAGGTACTTCAAGGTGTCAGACAAGTCATCACACTTTAATTTCTGCCTTTGGCAAGCCCAGCCACTAATTCAGTCTTGTTATAGTTTTCCCAGTAGGGACAAAATATATACTGAGCTTTGAAAACCCATTGTGTAGCAGCAATTGTTGCTGTAAGCCAGTGGCTCTTTTGCTTTGTTCAGCACCGTGTGCTTGTGTCTCCTGTGAGATATTGTTTTGTTAAGGCCTTCTATTGATTAAAAGGGAGAGAAATTGAATTCCAAATGGGAGCAGCTGAAATGCTCTAAAATGCTGCATAAAAAATGTGAACATTCAAAATAATCTTAAAGACAGGTAACTTTCCTGAACCAGATTCAGTTTTCCTTCAATCATTGCTCACCACAGCATCTCACCTCAGGACCTACTTGTAGTTCAGGCCCAGGGTAAGGGCCACATCCTCATCCATATCTTTGGGGCTTATGGATGCTGCAGAGCAATCTGGAGGATGCTCTGGGGGTGACATCAAGCTCCAGGGCACTCTGGAGGGAGCAGCCCTGGGCATTTGTCCTCTGTCCTAATGTAACACCACAGCTCCCAGCATGGACAAGTAAATAGGCATAAAGGTGCCCCAGGCTCCTTCAGCTTAATCTTCTGCCCCATACAAAGAGATGGATTATTCCTTGGTGGAGCATCAAATGGTCTATCTACAACACAGGATTTTTACCTCTGTAACTACACCAGACTAACAGGATATGGGATGCTCTTATATAGCAGAGCAGAAAGCACTACTGTCCCAAAGCAGGGACTGAGCTCCCTTGGCTACAGCTTCTCTGTAAGCAGTGGACAGGAGGGGCAGAAATCCCATGGGTCCCCAGACAGCAGCAGCAGCAGCAGCAGCAAGTCAGACCTGCTTTTCTGCATCACCATCTCACAGCACAGACTGCTACCCATGCCCAAGCCCTGGGCAATTGGCCCTACACATCTTGGCCCCTCTTCATGGCTCCAGATGGAGCTGCATCCTCTGAGCTGCACCACAGGCAGGCTCGTGGTGATTTTACAGCCTCATGCTCCATGCATTTGTGTGTGTATTGTTTTGGTCCTGTTGTGGTGAAATGTGGATGAATGAGGAGACTCCATAACACTGCTTTTCCTCTGGGCAAAACTGCATTTCATTGACCTTTGAAATAATTTGAGGGGAGGGGGGAGCTGAAAAGAGATGGGATAGATTTCTACATCGTCTACAATCAGTTTCAGCATTTGCACTAGAAAAATAATTGCAGGGTTGCAACATCCTTTGTGTGAGCTGCTAGGAGTAGTGGATCGACCACCTGAGAAAACCTGGTGTCAGGTTTCTCAGACACTTTAAAGTCTTTTTTTAAGTGGTGTCACTTTAAAGAGTGCCATACATGACTGGACTATAAGAATTAGCCAAAGAGATTGTGATGGGGAACAGTACAATTCCTTTAGGGTCTTCTGGCAATCCCAAAATAAATAGGAAATAATACAGAAGAATGGAACCCATAGCTGTTTTGCTGTAGGTTTTAATAGAAAATAGAGGTTTTTATAAGATCTGACATTCCACATGTTCCCGGCAGTCTTCAAACATCTAAAGTCTATTTGTGCAGTGCTGAAGGCATCTTATCCAAAGACACGGTGGCAGAGGCAGATAGGAGAAACCAGGCCCCTCTTCCCACTTTCTGGCCACAAAAAAATGCAACTGAAAAGCACAAGGGACCACAATTTGCCTCTCCACCGCTGATTCTCATCTACTTTACCTTAGAGAAAATTAGACTTTTCTTCAAGAGTTTCAGCTCATTTTGCAGATTACTATATCAACATTTAAGTATGAATGATAATGGTAGCACATCTGTAAGAAATTATCTTGGACTCAAGAGTTCTTAATAGCCACTAACCCCAGTACTAAAATCCTTATTAGAGTAATACGGAGCTAAAATACTGCCCTAAAGCAGGTGGTCTGGAGAATGTGCTTCCAGAGGTAAGATTCTGGCAGTGCTCTCTTCATGAGCAGCATCTTCCCAAGATAGCCATGCTTGCCCATGCAGCTCTCCCAGAACAGCCACTTCTAAAGACACAAACTCTGTGTGCTGAATAGCACTATTGTACTCACAGTGTTGTATTTCAGTGTCAAATACAAATGTGCTTGGCAAAAATAGAGTAATGGTTACAAAATACAGGCACACTGTTCAAAATGTTGCTATCAGAGAGATTCCTGGAAAAGGGAGCTGTGCTTGGCAGGGACAGTCCCATGTTTCATCTGAAGGAGCACCGGCAGTGATGCACCCCACTGTGATATGCGGCGGTGTTTGTGGAAATAAGGGTACAGGGTGGATCAAGGGCATATGAAGATTACAGCAGCCTCCACCCATGTATACATCCCTGGCCCCAGCCCAGGCTGCCACATAATTCCATGCTGGACAGTGATCAAAGGGTTCATCCTGAGCTGAGAAAGTCCCACGGGGGGAGGGGGAGCAGTGATCCCCAGCCTCCAGCCCACCCTTTGTTCAGCTTGCTCACAAGTTTCCCAGCTATGTTTGAACTCCCGCCTCACACTCACAAACACTCAGCCACTGCTGGTGGTTTCAGGGAGATGAGCAATCAACCTTGACGTCACATTAGCTTCATCCAAATTACATTTGAATCCTTTCTTAAAAAAAAGTGTTTTAAAGCTTTGTGTTCAAGAGAGGGTGTAGACAGGAGGGAAAAAAAAAAAAACCAAAAAAAACCACTAAAAACATGGGGGAAGAATTAGGTTTAGAAGAGCCCTTTGGAGTTATTTCAATTAGTCTGGGTGCCAGAGACCTCTGGAGAAAGGTTCCTCTTAGAGCTACTGAAGTAGAACAGAGCATTTCAGGGTCTCACTTCCCCATTGAAATAGCAGCAGGACAGGAAAAGCCTCTTCTTCTGGATTCATTTATCTCCTCGAACATACCGGGTTCGAGGTACACCCAGTGCTGTATAGCTCTCAGCAGCAGCTTACCTCTGACAGGTTTTGCAGAAGCATGTACCCTGGCAGGGGGGATGCAAGCAGGCACAGCAGTGTTTTGAACCCTCAGACATGGTGGGTGGTTTGAGAAGTGGAAACAAACGTTTAATCCTGGCACTAGTGAAATCTGCTGGTCCTTCCTTACCCTGCTGGTTGTTGGTGCTAGTGTGGTCAATGCTTTGAGGCACAGAGTGTGAAGCAGCCATTGAGCTGGAGGATTGATCCACTTGTATTTGGTCAGGTGCTTTCTTGACAAAGCAAGCCTTCTTAGAGTTTGCTTTCAGTATTTACAAATATTAGGCAAAACCCCTCAACCTAAAATCTAAAAGGCTGCAATAGGGAAAGTCCTTGCCTAAAGGTCTCACACTGGCAGGACTATGAGAATCTGACACAGGCTACCAGTCAGCTGCAAATTTCTAGGTTTTCTTCGTCTCCATAGCATCATGAATATCCCTCAAAACCATCAGGCCAAGACACAGAGAAGCTCACTGACCGGTTTTCTTGCAAAGGCTCCTGCTCTACCTGCCTCAGGTTGTTCATCTGCTTTAGTGAGAAGCCAAGTGTCTGAGTATATTGGTCTAAGCATGTGCAGAAGTTTATTCACAGCAGCAATGTGAAACACAGCAGTAGGAGGAACGAGGCTGGCTGGGCTGCACAGAGACTCACAGGGGAGCTTTGTGCAGATAATGTCCCTGGTCCTATCTATTTTCTCTGCAAGATAACAAGCCAGTTTTCTCAAACAGAAGCCTTTAATTGACAAAAGTATGTCCTGAAAGTTGGAAAGAGATTGATGGCTGACACTAAATAAAAGTGTATTTACTTTTAGTTCGTGGGGGTTTGGCTCCTCTGTTGCTGATACCAAAATGTCTGAGCCCAGTGTCAGTGTGTATGTAGCAGAGTGAATATTTGTTGGAAAAACAAACTAAATTATTCATGAAGGTTTTACAGTCCTGAATCCTTTAATTCCTTCATGTCCATTGTACAAAAGAAAACACCTATCTTCTCCACTTAGAGATTTTGTAAAGCAAAACTGGCTGGAAAAGCTTGGCAGTTGAAAGAAAACAAAAAATACTAATTGTTAAGCATCAGCTACCTCCCCTGCTGAAATTAACAGAGCCACTGCTTGAAACAAAAGCTGACAGAGCACTCTGGGAAACAGTGGGCAGGTTTGTTTGCAGTTTACTTGAAATCATCCATTCCAGCAGTATTTGCATCTTCCTCCAAATACTCAGTGCAGCTACAGACAGGACTCAAGGATAGCTGGGCTACAGGTTGTGTCCAGGAACCTCGCAATTCCCATCAATTCACATTTGTTTTCCAGCTCTTCCTTCCCGAAGAGGAAACCTGAGATAAATATTTGTTGTCACTTGAAAAAAGGAAAGGAGACCTGAGTTCTACAAACTGCTATTCAGACTCCAAGTTCAATATCAAAGCACTTTATAGTTACTAGTCAAGTGCAGGTTCTGTGGCCCATGACTTTTCAGCAGGAACTCACAGATATCATTAAATTCATGCTTTCTTGTAGACAGGAAAATTAACAGAGGGGTTGCTGAAGTCATCCTTCATCTTCTCAAGGGGTGTTGTAGGAGCTTTCAGCTGGACTGTATCACTCTACACAGAGCAGAGAAATCCTGCTTTGGACAGAAAAGCCTTCTACCTGAAAAACTCTGTCTTATCTTACTTCAGAAGGCAGTGGGCTACAGGAGGAAGGTAAGTCCTTTGCCAAGGGCAATGTCCAAGTCTTTCAACCAGGGCTGCACTGTACCACCAATTTTCACACATTAATTCTCATTCTTCTGTATGGAAAATCCTCTCTTGTTCTCAAAGGGCAGCTGGCTGCCAAAATGCGCTGTATGCAAAGCTGCCCAGTACATGGAAGAAACAAAGGGAAGAAGGAAAAATTTATTCACAGACAAGCAATCTTAAACATGTTACTTGTAACAACAGAGAGTAAACACTATTCAGACAGAAAGATATTTTTCAAGCTGACAGAAGGGCTTCCAAGGGTAGTACCTAGCAGAGCCTGGACCAAGCACACAGTGAGCGCTCGCGAGGCTCTTTTCACTTACAGTAGAATAGATGGGGCCAGACAGTCTGGCAGCCTCACAAAGGCACAATGAGCAGGAGCCCTCTTTCCCTGTGTGCGTACAAACACCAGCACTCTACAATCTTTCACAGCAACACGCCAAAGCAAACACCAAATTGACTGTAGTATTTCAGAGAGATGGCCAAAGCTCACAGATATTTTCCATGTGATCCCCTGGAACAATCCAGCGCTTTCATTAGCACAAATGTGAAAATATGTGCAGTGGAGAAAAGAGAGATTAGTTTTAGAAAGTTTTAGAAAGGAACATAAACAGAAGCGGGTCTTAGCTTGGCCAGGAATTATTCTGATCCCTGTGAAAGCAATGCCAAGGTTGAGCACTGGGGTGCAGGATCAGTCCCACCGCACGCAAAGCACCACACTTTGTTTCCAGGTGAGGTTAGCTGAAGTCACAATGCCTAAAAATCCTGTCCTCCTTGGCACAAACTGATTTTCTTGAAGACAGGTGATGCATTCATATCACTCTGCTCAGACACAATCTCTGGTCATAAAATAGCAATGAGGCTGAGGCAATCAGACAGAGGATGGCAGCTGGGATAGCCAGTCTTAGTGCACTTGATGTAAACAGCAGCAGGACCTGAAAAGCTGCGAGGCCCCATCCTGAATGACTCAGGAGACACCGATCATCCTGCAGGCCTGCAATGAATCTCAGCACCCCATAGCAATGTGTGATGGGGAAAATTAACAGATGGTTAGGCTGCAACCTGAAAAATGGCAGAACAGCATCAGTGTAGCATTGCTCAGCAGTGTTTAGTTGTGATATATCATTTTTGCAGCCTATTTTTGCCACAGACTTGGCTTGAAGTCCAGTTTCACAAATGGTCATCTTCAGCTGGCAATCTGTGGAGCCATGGGATTGGGAGATATTTCCAGGGGCTCTTAAAAGCTGACTGTAAAGCCACAGTCTGAAAAATGTCTCTTTGAAACCCAGTACCAGGTGAAGCACTCCCTGAAGGCTGTTCTTACTGTTGCCCTGTGCCTCAGTGGCACAAAGATGAATTTTCATGGAGCTGTGGGAGGAATCAATTTTAAAACTGGTTAAAGCAAATGAGCAAAAAAGAAGGATTACTTTTAACCCAAACTAGATCCCCTGATGGTTTGCCACGTAGCTGTACCAGACCTTTGCTGGCACCAATGAATTAACACCACAGTGCAAAATTAACACTCAAATTGCATCCTGAGGAAAGGAAGACTACTGCCAGTAGACTGCTATGGCCCATCTTCCAATAGGAAACCTCTGACAGCTAAGTCTGTAGTTTCAGTTGTCCAACCCATTCAGCACACTGAAACTAGTCCTAGCCAAGCTAAGTCAAGGACCTGAGCTGGTCTTAGGCTTACCTGTATCTCCCTCTTCCCCCAGCTGAACAGGCCCAGGACCCACCACTTCCTCTCACAGGGCAAACAATCCACTCATGGAGAACCTCAAGATTTCACAATTAAAATTTTATTTACTAGTCTAAACTCTCACTTAAAAATCTACATTCACAAGACTCACAAGACACTCATACCACTGTAAAGTGAAACTCAGGAGAAGTTTCCCAGAAGACTTGTGACTCTCATGTGAAACCACCATAAAGAAGATTTAACAGTTGTTGCAATAAAAATCTCATGCAACAAAGATAACTGCACCAGGCTCAGCCTCCAGCACACTAGGACCATGCATAAGGTTTCACATGAAGGTCATGAGAGGCTTCAAATGTTTCAAAGTTTCAAAAGAGATATCATAATAGAGAAACAAAAGAAAGGACATCCTGTGTCTGCCTGCTTACCCAGGGAGGGTCTGACTTGGCTGTATGGGGTGCACTCAGCAAAAGCTCCCTACAGCATACCTTTGGAGGTCCCTTCAGACAGCGTGGACTTCCTGGTTTTGAGAGACAATTCAACTCTTTTTGGTGGACAAAGTTAGCCTTTGTAAATATTAGCCTCTCCAGGCTAAAGTACTATAATATCTTTGTTGCAATTACAGCAAAGACAAAGTTTAACCAACTTGTCTATTAATTTGTCAATTTTTTTGTTTATTAGTCTTTGTTCAATAAACTTATCCATTAATTTATTTTCATATTATATTTTCTACGGGGACAAAAAGTTCCACTCTGTTCCTATGCTATCCATTTTTACATTTTAAATGCAACATAAGATGAATTTTAAACCTAAGATTATTTCATGCAGCACCAGTTTTCAGAAATCTTATATCCATGTCTTCAATATTGCAAGACATATGTATGTTTTATGTAATAAGTACAGATCACTGAACACCTGAAAAAGAAAGGAATAATAAACTTAGAAAAGCCCACATCTTCAAGTAATATATTAAATTCTGATTACACCCTTTAGAAAAGCATGCAGAAAAATGAGAAAGGTGGCAGATGCAGACGTGAAAGGGATGGTCAGAGGAACGGGTCACCTTCCAAAAAAGGGAGACTAAATAAGCCTTGGAAAAGAGGAAGACAACAGAGCAGGATAAGACAGGCAGCTCTGTGTGTATACAGTAGAAAAGGTTAACTATTATCCATTGCTTTTCTTGACACAAGAGTAAGAAGGCACTAAAAGAAAACGTAAGACTGAAAGTTGATAAGCAAGAGAACAAAAAAGTACTGTTTTACAAACCCATGTGAGAGCACTGTGCGATGCACCACCATGGGATGGTGTGAAGCCCAAGGCTGTCCAAAGAAAGGTTCAAGAAGTGATTAAAAAAAGTAATAAAAGAAAGGTGCCCTCAGGACTTTTGGACAGGCGCAAACATATCCCGTCGCACAGAACATCCCAAGCTATGCAGGATGCAAGGATCAGAGCCAGTTACAATGTGGCCAACATTACTGTGCACTTGCTTCCTTTCTTGTTTTTCTTCCCCAAGCACTTGCTGTCTGCCACAGATAGACACAGGGAAGAGAAGGCTCTGGGGAGCTGAAAGGCCCTGCTCTTGTATCTTCCCTTCAAGATTAGTCTGCTTGAGTGGCATGCTCTGTCACTTGATCAAGCTTCAGAGGTGACAGCATGAGGCAGGCTGAGAAGAAGCACCACAATACCTCTAAATGCTTCTAAGAAAAATGATCCCTCTTTCTTTATTATGATATAGCTTGTCATATAATAGCAATAATCACAATTGCTTTGTAATATACTTGGAGCAGCTTTGGAGATTGATTAAATGCTTCAGCTTCCCTTCAGCTTTAATCAACCTGAGCAGCTGTTTATCACTCAGAATACTTTAGATCAATAGAGCTTATACCTTTAAAATAGTATGGTCCACACCAGCTCCCTTAAAGCTGCAAGCAGTAATTACAGTAAGATCGTACTCTGTAAAGTTAAAAGTAGATGTCATAAAATTGGTAAAATCACCACAGCCACTAGCATAAGACACTTTTGAAATGTGGCCTTTCCTAATTTTGAATTTGTCTCAAGTTCTTTGATAAAGGAGGGGCTGGAAAGGTTGTGAGCAAAATTCTGCTCAGACCTTGCCACCAGCTCAAACAAAAGAGCCAGGAGACAAGAGCAGGACACCAACCTCATCAGCCACAGACCTGCTCTCCAGGAGTCCAGCAGCACAGGAAAGACCAAGGGTAAGTCCTAAGCACAAATGAGAGCACCTCAATTTAAATGCCAGTAAGGGAGCTAAAACCATCAGTGTTAATGATTCTGTGAAATGTCACTATGTCTTGTGACTGTCAGCAAGCAGCTTCTGAAGCATTACAGCAATAAAGCTTTAAACATATTTTGGTTACATAAAAATAAGCAAAATCATACCAAAGACAGTGTGAAAATTTCTACTGACTCTCATGGGTTCAGGACCTCACTCTCTGTGTTAATTGTGGCACATTAAATGAATGAAAGTTGAACTCCAGGCATACAATCATCAAATCCAGATGAAAAACACTGGAAAAGTTCATTTCATCATACTGCCAGACAAGACAAGACAAACTCTTGGCTGGTGCCTTGAAAAGACAAATATTTGGATAGGAAAAGAAAAAGCAGTTCAAGTCACTGCTTCTAAAATGATATGTTATGGAAAATCATTGCATCACTTTTACTAGCAGTTCACAGCTTCTCATTAATTTTGCAAAATTGCAGTAGCTGCTGCTTTCTGAGGTCTACTGGGGCAGCAAGGCATCTTGCCTGCTCATAGGGGAACCAAAAGCAATGCCCAAGAGAACTGCCACATGAAAAATAGTGTTTAGATGGAAGGTGACAAGATTTGGTATCATTCTATACACATCTGGGACCTGTGTTTAAAAGAGACAACACTGGGACTGTTTCTTCCACCCACACATCCACAGCAATACAGGTCCTTTTCCACAGCAGAGAAGACTCCATGAAGCAGTATTAATGTCATGTTGTGTCAACAAATACATAGCACACCAGGACTTAGGGCCCTTTTGGGTGGCCCAGCCCTCTAACCCTCATCTGATCCCAGCACAAGGCTGAAAAATGAGAAAATTGTCAGGAAAAATATACCACATACTATATTTGCTTTGTTAGACACTGAGGCATATTAGGTTAATGATCATTAAAATCCAATTAAGAGCATGGCGAAAAAAACTCTGTGTGTTTAGAAGGCCCCAGCCTTCCAGTCGATCAGGCAAAGGAAGAAGGAGGATAAAACAAGATAAACACAGTCTGTCATTACTGTTGCCATTCAGAAGAGGAGGAATGCTGGATAAACTAGAGATTTTCCACTTTATCATATTTTGCTGTTTTTCTCAGATGCATCTGGAATTTCAGCTGTTAAAAAAAGGAGGGAGATGAGGGAAGATGGGCTCTTCAAGTTGTTTTATAAAGCCAGAAAACATTTCACACATTTCAATTTCTACCACTCTTGTGTTCCTTTTCACACTGCTAACCACTTGAAAGCCTCTTGCAGGGGAGAAGCTACCAGAGAAAATAGTTTTGGATGCTCCTTGTTTATTATATGCAGATTAAGCAGTTCTTATTAACTCAGTCTTCATTCTTCCTTCATAGGTAGCAGTGCTGTGATATTATTTGCAAGCAGCCAAGGTAATTACCATCCAGCAGGGTCCAATTGTTTTCAATTAAAAGCTTGACTGAAGTCTTTAGTTTTTAATACCATTGTGACCATCTGCTTTCACTGAAGTTCATCAGCAAAGGCACAGGCCTCATTCTAATGCTGCTTAATTATATGGAGGAACTTTTTTTTGGTCAGAGGTTCATTTTTTCCTGCTAAAGAAATGGGCAGCAGCGGGGCTGCCTGGCTTCTCTAATAGCCTGCAGCAAGATGGAGTAACCAGGAAGATCATTACCTTCCTGGGAGATCCAGCTGTTATTGCACTGACAAAAAGATCCAGGGGACCAACAGGAGATAGCAGTTAACCTCAGCTGCCCTCCTCCCCGTTCAGTCACTTGCCTCCTTTTTCCACCAGGAAATCTGAAAAGGCCACAAGGAAGAGGATTTAATCTAAAACAGAGAGTATGATCCTCCCCTGCTGATTAGATTTTCGGAGTTGGTTCCAGGCCAGGAGCGCAGGCAGGCTCTCCCGCTTGGGCACGCATCCCCTCCTCCTTGCACATGCGGTGAATCTTTTGCAGTCCTGTATCATCTCAGATATGAGGATCTTCAAATCCCTTACAGGCATTCATTAAGCCCCGTGCAATCCCCAGGAGAGGTAAGTAAATATAATTTTCCAGATGGGGAAATTAGGGCGGCGAGAGGTTAAGTGACTAGCCTGAGGCCGAACAACAAATAAGTGGCAGAATCAGCATGAGGATCTGCCAAGTCCCAGGTTTAATGAAAGTCTCTCGAGTGCTCAGCTCCAGAAAAGGAAAAGCAACACCCCAGTCCTCAAATCCTCAGGACACTTAACTCATTTACTGCAGCTCTGCTTTATATGTGCCAGTGCTAATAAGCGTGACTCTTAACATTTCCAGCTGCACTGTGCGCAGAGAGGCGTTCTGTAGATTTAATGCGGGAACTGCTGTCTCAAGGCAGGGAAGCACGCTTGATGTTGTTCCATATCATCGGCCCAGGCAGGCACACAGCTTCCTTACGGGTGCCTGCTGCCATTTCTGTTACACACAGCTATTTCCAAGGATTAGCCCCCTGAGCGGCAGGTACTTTGCCAAGCACCAGTTAAAGAGGAAAAATAACTGGTACAACACTGTCAAAGCTGAGGAGATGCACTGTCTTGCTCTGGTGGCAGTTCAAAACCCTGAAATAAGAAGCCAGAGGGTTCTCTAGGCTGGCCACATAAGTAAATCCATCACTCCACTAAATCACAGAACTGTTCAACCAAGACTTCAATCTCTGCTCCTCGCTAATCTCTGGGGAGGCAAGAAGCTGGGTTTCACCCTTACCCCAGGGGTGCCTCTCTCTTTGGCACAGGTCTCCCCTCTTGGCATGGGGAGCTCGCCCCAAGAAGCGCTCCCTCCCAAAGGCCAGCAGCTCTGCTCTGCCATGGAACGTCAGCAGAAGCACTAAATCTACATCAGGGCTGTTAGACAAGCCAGGTCTTGCTACACTGAGACCTCTGCAGCAAAGGCATTGAAACAACTGGAATCTGACGCTTGGCAGATAATTACTTCAGAAAATGGTGTAAATTACTTCAGTATTTTGAAAGGCTTGAGGTGTTGCTGCTCAACTACCTTCAGCTACTTGCAAATGTAATGCAATTTGTTTCCATACAGATTTATTTTAAAGCTGTGTGTAGTATGTGTCCTAAATACATAATTACACACCAGAGTATAATGGCTCATTCGGGTTTGTTTTGTAACCAATATGCATTTCAAAAGCAAATTCTGAACGAATATGCAGCAACAAACACGCAGCGACAGAGACATGAAAAAGTGAGAAGAAGTAAACCCTTTCTTTAAGAATTACCTTGAAGGGAACATAATGACCCTGTTAAGAAAATAGTCCAGTAAAAACATTTTTGGCATGGATGTTCTGTGAATTGGATGGCCTAGGAAATCAGTAATAAGATTTTGCATTTTTCTTTCTGTGTTTGAAACTAATCTGTACTCATAGCAATTTGGCACAGCTATTCCAAGGAGTTTTTTCAGTGACCTATGTAAAATCATTTGGCAGTGTCCAATTGGGCAGCTCTTACAGAGCTGTGTATCCACTGCACAAATTACAGAGACATTTCAGTTCTTTTCCAATATATTCCTTATAACCACCCCCCTCCCAAAAAAGATGGTTTCTGTTGAAAAGTCCTTCACTGACATGAGCAGTAATGCACCAATCAATGCATGCAAGCGAAAGGTTTAAACAGTAGTTGGACTGATGGGAGTAACCCAGGGTTCATCTTTAAGAGTACTTCAGACAACCACTCTCACTTATTAGGAGTTGGAATAAGCTGCCTTATTCACTAGTTATGGCCAGAAGTATTTGGGTTTTTTTCCTTCTTTTGTAATTCCCTGAGCTGCCCTAAGACAAGGAACTGCCTTTTGATAGGAGTGCATGACCAGCAGTGCTTTTCCTCACATGTCCCCAGCAAGCTCCCAGCAGCATGGAGAGCACTAGGTCCATCCTGCTTTATTGGAAGTGTTTAAAATTGAGATGCTGAAATCAGGGACCATCTGCATCAAGGACTGGATACTTCCAAAGGACGGCTAAGATCTTCATCTCCCATCAGAAGCATCCTTCTTTCTCCATCAACTACCGAAGAAATTTAACATAAAATCGCTCCCAATTCTGGCAGCTGAGTTAATTGCCCAAAGAAAAAGTAAATTCTGCCTGTTTGAAACTACCTATTAACTATATTTAAGCAGAGGAGCAACTGGATGTAAGAGGTTTCCTGTATTAAAGATGAAAGGGAGAGAAAGACCTTGCTTTCTGCCTTATGGTCACTGTGCATGTAGGTCAGTGAGGCAAAGCAAGACATGAGATACCTGTGGTTCTGGAGCCCAGTGAGGTCAGTGAGGCAAAGCAAGACATGAGATACCTGTGGTTCTGGAGCCCAGTGAGCAGACAAGGCCTGCACATAAACATCCATGAAGTATAGCTGTAGCCTTCTCAGTTTATTCCTCAAAGTGCAAAAGCATCTGACATTGAAAGAGACAACAGTTTTTTGATGAAAAGTAATAATCTCTACTTCATCAAGTGAGATAATCCCCTTTCTCCTGCTAGTTTCAATCTAAGTAAAAAATCCAAATATCATTTTTCTCTCTTCTTGCTATTTTTATTAATTCAATTAAAATACAAGATAATTTAAAAATTAAACTAGATGGAAGATTTCTCACAGTACTGGAATTTTCCCAGGTGATCTGCAGCACCTCTCTGCTGAAGCTCCAGAGTATGGAAGTCTTCATTCATTTGCCTTCTTTCAAGTCACACATTTACTGGGTCCAGATGGGATCTGAATTTTCAGCATATACATTTGAGGTCAAAGGGCTGCAATGTTAGTGTTCAGATTTTACCACACTTTTTCAGACCTGAGGAAAAATGAGATTTCCAAATGCATCTGTATTATAACAGTTCCATTATATCTCTGTTCTTTTTAGATCTAAAAACATTGCAATTCAAGTCAGAGGCAGCTGAGCCTAATGAGATGAATCAGTGGAAAAGGACCCTTTGGCCTCAAGACTTGAGAGGTGTGCCACACCAGTCAGTCAGCTGAGGGGAAGGCTGATTGCTCATCTAGGTCTTCATGGGTGATCTCTCTATTTCTGTTTCTTGAATTCTTGTAACTCTTTCCCCCAAACCATCTCCCTACAAACTTTTTTAGAAACAGTGTGGCAAAATGCTTCAGTTTCAGCTGCTGGTAAGGAGAAAGAAAGCCAGTATCTCATGCTTTGTATACTTTTTCCTCTGCACAAAAGGAAAAGCTCCCTCTGTTTTTCTCTCCTGTACTTATCCCTTCTTAAAGCACCCAGACAGCTTAAAGACGTAGATGTAGAGTCTGAGTATCCAGAATCTATGTGAAAAACAATATTATCAGAGGATCAATCTGAAAACCTGTATTTCAGTGAGCTTTGTGCCATTTCCTGAATAACAACTTCAGATCTCTTGTACTGTCTTATAATTACGAAAAATATAACTTGGTATAGAATGCACTGTGTCAGCTTTGATTATGCCAGCAAAGAAAGACATGGGATACAGAGAGAGAATAAAGGAAGAATGATGGCTGTCTACTGGCTTATCAATTTACATCTCTCTACAGTAAATCTAAGTCCTTTGTGCTGTCAGTCATGCACTCCTACAGCAGTGATTGCTGGAATATGAAAATCACAGCTATGAGATCCATTTGTACATTCCCGTATTTGCACAGCCTTTATGGGTTTATTGCTTCAGTGGCTGCAGCATCCCCCATCAGCATGGGTCCTGAGATTTGAGGCTTGGTGTTTGCCCCCACTATGCAGCTTATGTGCAACAATCTATACCAACACTGTGAATCACCACCTTTTCAGTTCAAATTGTGAAGGAAAATGGAAAAAACCCTCAGGAAACTGTAAAGGCAACAAACGATCATGCGTTAGAGGACCTATTTCAGGCCTATAAATTTCAATAATATGCTGCAATTGTAGCTAAAAATAACACACCTCCTCATCAAATATTTACTGTGACATAACCACCTAGCCAACATGATGTTTTTGAAGACATTAACAGCAATTGTGTATTTTCAGATGAAATGACACACTGGAAATTAATGAAGACCAGAAGACATGAACAAAAACCACCTCACTGCTGCCTTCACTCCTATAGCAACTGTCAGCAGCAAAGAGCAGCTTCCTGGAAATTTCTGAGGCATGGAGTTCAGAAAACGAAAAATCATGCTTATTGCAGGCACAACACATGGTTATGCACACACACACATACACACACTCCAGTTTTCTATGAGCTGAGTAGTAATTTAGGGCCTCACTCTCCCCAGCTCTCTCCCACCAGGACCCACAGCCAGGAGAAGGTCAGCAATGTTTCTTGCTGTTGTAAAATACACATGGTCATGGAAAAGTGCTTTTACAAACCTTTTATGCACCCTGTGAGGGGAAACACTCCACCATGTAAATTTCCCACAGGGCCACAGGTAACAAGCAAAGAGGAAGAAAAGAATCAGAAAATATCCTTGCTCTAGGAGCTGCTCTCAGCTGTTTTCCTACCACAGAGTTACCATTAAAATTTGTAGTAGGATACTAGTCCTCATCCAAATACTTGAATACTATTTGTCTCTAATGGGATAAGAATTATGATGCAAGAAAAACAAAAGCCACTGGAAAATATGGAAGGATAACGAATTATTGCTGATTTCCTGGACTTACGTAAGTTGATCAGAATCCCTTAGAAAACTCTGCAAGCAATGTTTCTGTCTTAAAATTCTCTGCATTAAAAAAGAGAAAACTGTCATATTCATACGCTCGGCTTTTGAGCTGCATTCTGTAAGGCAAGAACGATTCTTCCAGATCAGCAAATCTGTACAATATGGCAGTGTTTGGTTCCCACACTGAATAAAACATGGTCTGTCCTATCTGATCCTTTATTAGACTTGGCATTATTTTCCCACTATAAACATTCCTAATAGCATTGGACCATTTTCATCATGAAGTAACAAGAAGAACATTAAATCACTCCTTGTCTTTAAAGTAAACACATACATTGTGTTTTGGGCTTTTCCCTTGTGTTGAGACTGAAGTATCTTAATATTTGTGACTCCTTGGGGCTACTACCACTGAAGGTTGTCTCCTCCTTGAACTTTCATAAAATCCCAAAAATCCTGTGTCTGGGAAGAAGGGATTGTCATTTACAAGCAAGTAAGAGACAGAAGGCTGATAACATTTTCATGGTTTACCCTTAATTTTAGCTGGAAAAGATATTTGAGTCCTGCAGTTTGATTTGAACCAGTAAGGCGAACAGCATTTGTTATTGGAAATAAACAACCCTAAACAGTAATAAATAACTCTGCCCTTTTTGCAGCTCCTTGGACATCTGCATTACCTCCACTCCAAGCCAGTCTCCCCTAAAGTAAGACAATCACCCCCTGCACTATCACAAAGAACAACGCTGGGATTAACGTAGGGTTCACTGGAGTCAGGAGCCTGTTAATGACAATGGTCAGCAGAGGATGTTCTGGGAGCAATAAAAGAGAAAAGAAAGGCCACAGTGAGCTATAGTTATGGCCTTGCATTTCTCTTTCATGGTTGTGTATCTTTTGAATGAGACTGGATTTTTATTTTAAGCTGCTGCCTGCTGAAAGTGCCCTGGTCAGTCAAAGGTAGAATGCAGAATACAGTGCAGTAAATTTCTGGTCTTGAGTTTTGACTACCAGACTTTAACAATCTTGCCAAAACCCTGAAGAGTATCTGTGCCCATAACACAAGCAAGTCCATTAGAATGCTCCTCTGTCTTTCTCCTTCTCCACGTTCTTTCACCTCAGAGACATGTTTTTGCATAAGAAGTACTTGAATGACAGCCCTAGCAGCAGCCTATCACACCACAATAATAAAGGATTAATTACCTCAGTCATCAGCACTCTATTATTATTTGTAGCACCAAGTGCATGCTCTATTTTTGTGAGCTACAAATGCCTGGGAACACCAAAAAGAAGACACTGCATTAATTCAACAAGTCTGCTAGCCTGCACCTGCATTTAATTAGTTACTCAAATCAGACCTGCAGAGCCAGGAGCTGCAAGCGAGAGTACTGCTGGCCTGGCTGGGCTGCCAGTGTAATTAATGGCATTCTTACTGTGGCTCTCTCCTCTGTGCAAACAAAAGTTAATCATTTACTGGGAGAGTCTGAGCTGATGCTTCTCCACCGTTTGAGCCAGTGTGTAGAACATTTCAGTAAGGCTATCCCCCACTTCATATTTACTGCTTGCTTCCCAAAATGATGTGTTGACCATGGTTTATGCTACTGGAGATCTACATGGAGGCAGGGGTTAAGAAGGTATAAAGAAAAGAAAAAAGAAAAAAAAAAAAAAAAAAAAAAAAAAAAAAAGGAAATTAAAATCTGAACTAGAGAAGTGCTGACCATAAAAAAACCCACCACACAGCATCTGTCCCCAGCCAAAGGCTTCTTTGAGCAGAGGTTTGGCAGAATGACAGCTAATAACCTGGCTGTGTTGTCATTCCTCTCACCTTCAGCTTTAGTGTTTGTGTAAGCTTCAAGCTATTTGTACGTAATAATGGTTGTATCCTCGAAGCACACTTTCAGAAAGAGGTAAGCATCATTATTGCTATTAAATGCACAACAAAGAGACTAGCAAAGGATCTTCTCCAAAGTTTCCAGAGAAACCAGCAGAAAAGCAAGGTGCCCTGCACGTTTGCATGCCTGCAGCACAAGAACATTCCTCTTTGCCAGGAGCTCGGGTGACCACGGGCACCAGAAGGCTGACAAGAAGCCACTGCAGGAACAGAGGCTTAGGCATGGAGATGATGCCTTCAAACCAAGCAGTACGTGTGGAGCATGTCTGAACAGAGAGATCGGGGTACAGGTCTGAACAGGAGCCTTGCACTTTCTTCATTGCAAAGGAGCAGGTTGGTTACTGCTCACAGCTTTGTCTTCTGCTCCTTTATCCAAAGGCAGTCAGCGCCATTTCCAAGTGGCATAATGGGGCTGGAGCAAGGACAAGAGGGAGAGGGATGGCAGTGCTAGGCAAGTCTGTGGATAAGGAGACAATTCTTTTCTCTGCTTGCTGGAATAACCTTCGGGGGTGACATGAACTTTTTTCCATACAATTAGACTGCACATGGACTGTTTTGCAAAGTGGGGGGAGAACAACTCAACCAACAACAACCTTTGAAATTTTTGAAATCCACTATTTAGAAATTATGGGCTTTCTTTTTAAATTTTTTTATTTCTCTTTTTGAGAGCAGCTTGGTACATCTCTTTTTAAAATTAATGGCATATACTTGATCAAAAATGCTAAAATGCTGGTTCCAGCAAATTACACAGATAATTAAGTCTAATTTCAATAATGCTCTGAAACACTACTAATAAATCTTTGGGCTCATACATTCCTTGAATATATTCAAGCTACTTTCACAAGCACCAAAATCCACCCTTGCAGCTCCTTTTCTGTCAAGCTTTGGCAATCCCAAGCTAAATTCTGCTGTCAGTTATATCCTGTAAGTCTGGAGCAATTGCTTGTCCTCGGTGGCATAACTCAAGATTACAGCTGTGTAAATGAGCACAGAATGTAGCTTGAGATGTTGTAAATCTGACCTTCAGCTTGCTTCCATGAAAGGGGAAAAACCAGGAACTTGTTTTCACATTCACTAAGCTTCTTGAAAAACTACCCTGCATAAATATTATGATTTCAGTCATAGACATAGCAGATTTAAAATGGAGTTAAACCTGCCTAGTATCTAGACCTACCAGGAGGGGGAAAGATGACAAGTATAATATTATGAGCTACAGCAAGCAAAGATTGCTTTTAAACACTGACATGCGCTTTGGCCTCCTACCATGGCACATCAAGACTTCCAGCTTATTCTAGGTCAGTGCATGACCTCAGGATACTGCAGCATTTCTCCACCAGCAGCACTTGAATGTTGGTCACCCAACCTCCATAGATGCTGATCACCAGCCTTCCAAACCCACTTAGCTGGGTGCCTTGTTTTGGGGGGTGGGGTGGGTGGGGTGCCACAGAATTTGTGCCTCACAGACCATACCTGGAGAGTGTGAGACTGCTATGGACCATTGATCCTGTTGAGCTGCTAGCTCCCTGCTGCCATGCAAAGCTGACCTGAGGCATTTGGGGCCGTACCTTTACATGGGGATGGATGGGTTCAGTCCTAGTGCCCTTGCAGGATTTTGCACTGGCTCAGTGACACTTCTGCTTGTGCTTTCAAAATACAAGCAGACAGGAACCAGGGAAGTGAAATCTTCCTTTTTGTACTGACACCTCATGACTAGCAGGCCCAGCAAGTAAGAGAAACACACTCTTTCCCAGACTCCTTTAGCCACCATTTCTCTGAATTGTATTACAGATGACTTGTCAGGTAAAGGGTATGGTAATATATTTACCAAATAGAGTTAAAAGAATGAATATCACAAAAAGCAGGCCTCTAAACCAAACATCAAAAAGACAAGGGAAAATAATACTTGAAGTGCCTTTGTTCATGGAAGCACAAGTTAATTAATTAATGATTTTTCTAAACAACTGGTTTTCGAGAAAATATCATTTGCCAAGGTGCAGTACAATCCTTGCAGGGTTGCCATTTGCAGTTATGAAAGCATATCTGTTATTGCCATTATACAAGCCTGAAGGGTTAGCTAGTTTCAGGATAGAAAAGAAAAAACAACAAAAAAACACCAAAATACTGCATGGTAAGTACTCCTATACATGTTGATTTTGATCATCACATTATATCTTTTCTCTGATATGTCCACATAACATTCAGAAATCTCTGTCAGGCCACTAAGTATAACAAATTGCTGGCCTATACATTTCAGAATTTCAGCTGTCTAAAGAATAAAATGATGGCTTTGTACTACAGCACACAGCTGGACAAAGCTGGACAAAGATGCATATATCAGTGGCAGCAAAGATATTTATCTGCAGATGAAAAGCTTGCAGAGGATATGTCAGCATTTTATTTGCTTCTAGACTGCATTATCAATCTTTGGCATTACTCAAACTTAAAAGTCATTGCATTATGCAAAATACTTTCAAACAAGCAGCATCTCTTGTCTTCATTTCTAACTTTCTTAAAGCATAATTTGATGCATTACCATAAATGAATGAAAGAGCCACAAAATCTCATCAAAATGAGAAGGGAGAGTGGATCTGAGTCTGATGACCTGCAATTTGCCTGCTATTGGGGGGCTGCTTTTAAAAAATGGACCAAACTCACTTTGTGCTGATTGCTAATTTAACCACTTTAAATATTTTAATATATAATTTCCATTTTTCTTTCTATATTAAGAAGTGAATGTACTTTCCATTTTAATCCTCAAGCTGAAAAAGCAATGGAACAGTGTTTGAAGAAGCCATTTCAGAAACATGTCAATTGAGGCATGTACCTGGAGAGAGCAGAATTCACAATATTCTTAACTAGCACCATCAACAGACTACCAGGAAACTCCAGAGGTCAGCTAAGGGCCTGTATTAATGATAGGAAACAAGAGGGAATTTCTCTTTACTCAACAGTGAGCATAGTTTCTGTGATAAAATCTTCCAGGTGCATGGTTTATTCTGGAAATAGTGGGATCTGAAGTTTGTTTTGCAAAGAGCAATTGTTTCTGTGGAACCAGAACAAAATTATCCACAGGTATTTAGACTAAAAAAATCAATAATAAAACAACCTAGATTTAATTTATTCTTTCTCCCTCTCCTGATTTCCCCTATCTTATCACTTCTTCAGGGCTTGTCTTGAGCAAAGCATCACTGTAAACTGATGTGTTTGGTGTAGAATAATAAATTTCATCCAAGACCTTTTGAGTTACAGGTCATTTAATATAGTAACTGTGGGCAAGGCGAGCCCCCATTGTGCTCCCACTGATGGCAATGAGTGTTTGCTGCCCATGAGTTCAGAAATGAGTACCAACTCTGGCTGTGAAAGATCACTCCTAATCTAAATTTGTCACACACTGCCACTGTCTGTACCTCATTTTCTGGGTGCCCATCTTCAGGCTCCCAGAGATTAATTTGCAGGGTAGGCAGGTGCTATTGGAAACAGGGAAGATGATCTCTGTTTCATGAGCAGAGACTCTTGCTGTTTGGATGCAGTTGCTGTCCTACACTCACAGCCCTTGTGAAGGATTCCTCACTGCTTCCACCCTAAATGCAGGCAAGTAAAAAAGGGGAGAGCATATCTGGTTATGGCCTTGTGTCTGCAGCAGAGTGGCAATACTCCAGGGAAGCAGAGAATATATAAAAAAAAAAGGAACCAAAACCCAAAGAAACAAACAAAACAGCCATTTTATCATTTTGTGTTAGTGCTGGCAGAAAGCTGGGTGCAGACACTGTCATTTGGTTCTGGCTCTGGTCAGGATTTGAATTAAAACAAACAAAACACAAAACCAAACAAGCCCCAGGGAAACACTTTCTATCATTTCAGTAAAAGCTAACCATGACCTCTTGTGTCTGGCTAACTTATCAGATAGAAAATATTAACATCATGGAGCTCCAAGCAATTTCAACAAAAGCAAGGTCCTTGAGCTCCCTACAGGGACCTGCCCAGTTAGTTGACACTCTTTTTTGATTTTTCTCTCTACAACTAAGATTTTAGGAAACAAAAAGAATAAGAACACTTCAGTGCACCCAGTCAGCTGTGAACAGACAAAGGATGAAGGTACTCTGCTGAGAATGCCACAGGGAGAAAATGACTGATCCTCTGCAGTGTCCAAGGAAGCCAAAGCCCCCTACTGAATAGTGAGAGTGAAAAATAAGGAGATTAAATAAAACAAAGCCAACCACAAAGAATGTTTATTTAGTCAGGAAACAGCATCCATCCATAACCCAATGTTTCACTTCACAATTCTGATATGCTTCATTCCATTCTTTAAATGCATGCATATATATAAGTTCAAAAAGTCTGGATAGTTTCCCTTGCTAGCCCTATCATGTCAGATTTTCCATGTTTATAAGGTCTTTCTCTGTTGCTGTGAGATAGACCTGGGCAAATAAAAATCTATCCCTGCCTGACTGCACAGGGAAACACTGACCCTGAGTAACAACCACACACAAACAGTGTGGACAGCCCAGATTTCTCTCCTTTAACCAGTGCTGCTCTTGGAATATGAAAAGCAAGTCAGCATTTTTGCAACAGAACTTTGAAGACTATGGTCTTCACTGGAGTAACTCATAATTGTTAAACACAAGGAGAGCATCTGGCACATAAATGGTCAGTAATATGTGGACTCTGCAAACATTTAGGTGAGTGTTTAAGAGTATTGGGTAGAACCCTCTCCCCAAGGCCATTCATGGCATTTTCAATGTCAGAATTAATGGGGGAAAGATTTTATTTGATGGGTTTAATTTATAATTTAAAGTAAAGGGCCAGAGCTCAAATTGTTCTTTACTCATCAGAAATGAATAATACTGAGCTTGAAGTAGCACTAGATAAACAAATTACACAAGCAAATAAAAACATTATGATGGACTGCACCAGTGTATGTGAAAAATATTATTTACCTTCTAAAAGAAAAAAATAGTTTTAAATGAACATTTAGTTTAATCTATGCCTTTAGAATATTAGTTTAAGAGAAAAACTTATTATCCCTTGGAAGATATACGCCCATAATGGAGACTTCTCAGGTATCTGTCACAAAAACAATCAAAATAGATGTGAACACACACTCTAGTTTTTCCATAAATGCTGACATTTTTTTCTGGTAAATATTGTCTCTTGCTTTATCTCTGCCAGTTGGTATCACTTCATACCAATAAATCTATGCAGAACTCCACATCTACTTACTACTCTCATTGGATTAGCAACAATTATAAGTGACTGCTCCATAGAAACACTGGATGAAGTCCAAACTCTGTCCCCATGGCATGTATGCCTCCCACCACTGCAGAATCCCCCAAGAGATATTTTCCTGCTCCCAGGCAGTGTGGGTGTTCCTGGTAAACCAGGAAAGCACAAGGTCTGCCCCCGCTCTCAGGTCAAAGTGACCACCAAGCCTTTGTTAACAATGAGCTGTTGCATTTTTAGATGGTCCATCTTACAGCCTATGTTGTCTAGCTAAATCTACCTGGATGACAGGCAGTAATCACATATACTTAATAATACAAACCAGAGGCTAGGATAATTTAACACAGCTTCTTCAGAACGCCCCTAGGAAAGACAGAGGAATTGCCACGCCCCTTTCCCAAATGGGAAGCAGTCAGTATGCACCAACACCAAGGAGGTCCTTTACTGCAAGTGTGATGAATGGCAACCACAGCCAAAGAAGCAGTGTCATATGAAGAAAACACTTTGCTAAGAAGGAAAGCACTAACTTCACCCTGGGACTGCACTAAGCAGACAGGGTTCTGCAAAGCAGACAGGCCAAGCACAGGGAAACAGAGGGTAATACAAAGGAATTTACTTCCCAAAGAAGACAATATTGGCAGTGGTGGGCTCAAGGCCAAAACAAATAGAGATGTATTGATTTTACATCTGCCCACAGGCTTATTTTGTTGTGGGAGAAGAGAGCCTTAGAAACCTTAAGCTATTTTCCATTGCAGGAAGCCCCTGGTGATGATGAGAATGCACGAACTGCCCATTGTTTCCCTGGGAGTGAATTGTCCCTAGGTTGTACCAGGTGTGCATTAGTCTGCTGGCACAAGGACCCTTTGAACCAAGACAGAGGACCTGAGAGGAAGGAGCAGGCTAGAAAGATGAAAGCAAGAACAATTTCATGTGAATGTGGAGAAGGACAAAAAAGGAACAAAACCCACTTGACATGAGATACAGTACCCCGAAGTGAAAGCCTACCCCTACTCCAGGAGGACAGAAAAGTAGCTGTGACAACACGCAACAGTCGGATTCACTAACATCTCTTCAATCGGTCATGAGCAAGGAATGTTCAAAGGAATCCCAGGAAAATACACCTTGTGCCACTGGTGAAAAATAATTTTTTTATTTTTTTTTTTTTCTGTGGCAAAGGAGCAGCCTCAAAAGGAAAAAAGAGAGTGGGAAGCCACAGTGGTAACCGAGCCCAAATAGCAATTGCATTGTAATGTCTGGGAATCCTGCCTCTGTGCAAGTAACCATGTGCTCGGTGATCCTGAAGCTGTTCTTTAAACATGCTCCAGCAGTGATGCATTTGTACTGTTCAAGTTTGTGCTGAAGACAGTTAATTCAAATAGATGGAAAAAGTCTGATGGACGGATTGACCTTGGAACTTGGCCTGGAAGTTATTCTTAGTCTCCACAAGAAAAACACTGTTCATGTTGCATGGCAAAGCCTGAGAAGTGAGCACGAGAAACCCAGGGACATGCTGCATGCTGGTGATCCAAGCTATTGCTTGGGAGTTCTGTTCTCTTAAAGCCACTTCAAGATTCAAATTGAGTAATTTCTGCCTTTGCTACAAGCATTTCCCAAGCCTCACAGAGGCATGAGATCAGATCCAGTACTTCTCCCAGCACATTGCTGAATGGACAGAGAATTCTGGAATGTTTGGAGAACAAGTTCCATGTAAAATCTTCACAGATTCAGGAAAGTCTAAGGCCTGGTCTTGTAGTGCCTTCCACTTGGAAGTGGCTCTCCTGCCCTAACACCTTCAGTGAAGGACAAATGCAGCAAGGAGAATTTGCCCTTGGAGCTAAATAAACCTATTCACTCCTTTCCACAGGATGAAGTGTTTCTGAAGATGCAATACTGTGTCCTTGATAACAGTGGCCAGTTTGTCATCTGAAAGGTGGGAAGTAGCCATCACCTAGGCTGCTGTTACTGGAGTTATCCCGACATGGATATCAGATGTTCTCACGAGTATGAAAGACATCAATGAGCAATGATCCCTCTCACCTTTCAATCCCTCTGCTGGCTTATTCTGTTGAAGAAAATGCTTCTGTCTGTGGACTCAAGCCTGAACTGAGTCATTAAATATCTTCACTACAGTTGGACTCATGTAGATGCTGTCTTGAAACCCTTCTCAAGCTTGTTTAAAGACCTCAGGCCAGAACTTTGTGGGCACTATGTGTATAACTCTGTGCCCTGGCTGGGCAGCCCACCTGCTTTCCAGCCAGGATTCAGAGAAAATCCCTGGTATATCTGCACCTGGATTCCAGAAGGGCAGACAGGCTTGAGGACTCTCAGGGTGGGGATGCAACATAGCACCAGTGGCTGTGATGTAACAGCTCTCTCCTGGGCCAGCCTAATCCATCCTTGCTCCCTGTGGCCCTGCAACCAAGAGTCACTCTTTTCAAGAGGGTTGCTGGAGGCTGATCTCCTTCCTAGGCTTCTTCTGCACCTGCTCTCTCCTGGGCAGGAGCCCTGACACCTGGGTGACCAAGTTGAGGACACACACCTGCTCCACAGTGGGAGGTCACGACAAAAACCCCTGCAATGGCTGGGAAGCCAAGCTCACATCCATCCAAGCAAGAGTCCTGTCACCTGCTGACAAGTGACACACTAGAAAACGTAGAAACCTTCTCTGCTGCCTTTTTCCCTCCAAATCCAGTATAAAGCATGAATCAGAAGAGGTAGAAGCCAGTTAGCTTTTCCTCTTTGCTCACTCACCTGTCCCTTGTTCCCTTGCCAGAATGGAAAGCACAGGTTCCAAATGCACAGGAAGTTGTCTCTCATTTTGTCCAGCTCAGCTGGAAGCAGAAGGGCCTAATGCAGGTGGCATGAAACCTAGTCTGGTGAGACCTCATCTGGGAACTACAGAGTTCAAGACATCATTTGAGTCTGGCAGCTCCCCTCCAAGCTGCCCACCATTTCCTTGGAGCAAGAGTGAACTTGGAACCTGCCCCAGCTGGAATCTGGGTTTCACTCCCCTCTGTGTGAGGTTCCAAAAAAGGGACAGAGCCTGTAAGCTGTAGAAGGCCTCCTCATAAAGCTGCCAAGAGAAAAAAAATAGAAAGTAAAAATTAATTCCTTGAAAACACGAGACCAAACATGTTTCTTAGCATTCCCATGCACAGCACTGTGCAATATACCTTCTGCAAGTACATTTTAACCATGCCCCTGTTGATGCTGCCTTGCGCCCCCTCTGGCTTGTGTTTAACTTTCCACAACAGATCATACTCAGCTTTGGATACAATAAAACAAATCAGTTTCTTCCCTTTCACTTGTGCACGTCATTAACATTAAACACATGCTGCAATGACAGCGGAATTGATGGCTGAATGGGATGTATTTTAATTTAAGTAATATTTCCATTAACCTAAAAGCTCTCCCTTAAAAGTCTGTACAATTTATTTATTGGAAAAATTCCAGAATAATTGTACTGAAAATTCTTCTCTGAATGATAATATGTCAGACTTTTAAAGCTCTCTTCTGGCAGCTTTTCTTTTCGCCTTTGAACATTACTGACATAAGAATATATTTCTCACAAGTCTGATGTGTATTGAAAAAAAAGAGAAAAGGAAAAGAAAGAGGGACTGCTGCAGAAATCACAGTAGGTGTAAAATGCCACAGCCCCAAATCTGTCCCCTTGGCTGGAGAAGTGCATCCCAGATTTGTTACTCGTTTATGTTAGGTTATGGAAAATGCAGAGGATTAAAAAGGCAGAGGGAAGCAGATGCCATGCAGGCAGAGACAGCTAGAAGCCAATCTCCATCTGAGAGCACAGAGGCACTGCACCCAGCAAAAGAATGTGTTTGGAGGCAAAACTAAGCTGTGGCAGCTGGGGCTGGGACAGAGAGGTGCAGCTGCACTAGAGGAGGCGGAGGAGCAGGAGGCATTCCTGAGCTCAGAAAACAGCAAAATCCACCGTTCAAAACAAATAAAAGCTGGACTGTCCTCCCACCCCCGTGTTTGTGCTCACTGGCTTCAGAGCACAGGGGTACGAGATGGGGTCAGAGCTGCCTCAGAGCCAGAGCTCAGCCTGTAGAGAGAGGCTGCTGCAGGTTTGCCCCTTTTCCTGCTGCCCACAAAGGGCACGGCTCCAGCTGTGTTTCCTCTAAGGATGTGCCACAAGGGCGCACAAACACACATCTATGTGTGCTTTTCTGTGGGCCAACAAGTACATGTGGTCTTCTGTCCAGACTTCTGTCAGGGAGGAGAGGAAAAATCAGAGGATACACATGACAGCTGTTGTCATGTCACTTTGTGCTCCACTGATCGATGTATGCAATCCCTAGCAACTCCAATAAAGCAATATAACGTGCCTAAATAGGACAGCATGGAACTTCTCTCCCCACAGAGCACAGCCCAAGATTTGGGATGCCACAGGTCAGTTTTTTTTTGTCCAGCAGGCACATTTGTCGTTGCTTTCCCCAGCCTGAGGAAGAGGTGTTTGGGCAAATACAGGGGAGCTGTGGGTGTGTGAGGATGCCAACAGCAGGCTTCTGACAGACATCAGCACAGAGCCCTGTGAGCCAGCACAGGTGAGAGAGAGCCAGGGGCAGACCCCCTGCTCTTCTCTCATCCCTGTGGTACCCAGCTGCCAAAGCCAGACAGCCCCAAGGCACAGCCAAGGCTGTGTGCGTGAAAATCAGACACAGCAACCCAGCATCACCCCAGGGCCAAACCTTCGCCTTGTACAGCCAAACCTTCCACCTTGATGCAGGTCCTTGGGGGAGTTCAAATCCACTCTGAGCACCTTGAGAAGCTACTTTGCCTGCTCTGGCCAGCACAGGTGGATGCCCCATGCTTTGGCATTCTCCTGGGCTGTGTAGGAGCTGGGTAGAGGGAAGGACTGCACTGAGACCCTGGAACCTGGAACTGGTGGGCAGCTCTGCTCTCCTCTCTCCCTGCTACAGACCCAGGTTAGGCAGCAGCAATGAGGTCTGGATCAGAATGCAGCAGCTCTTTCCTCCCCTCCATCCACTGCCAAAACACCCTTGGCTGTACCCCACGCCCCTGCACTGCAGCCAGCTCACTATTCATTGTGATTTAGGGTAATTGTCAACAAGAGATCAGAAATTAATTGTATAAAGCAGCAACACCTCAGGAAAGCAGAAGATACTTAGGATTTGGATATACTTTCTCCTGTCTCCACCCACGGGTTCTGCCTCCAAGACAGGCTGGTTTCTGAAGCAGTGGAGGTGGAGCTGTTCCAGCAGCAGGTGTCCAGCAGCTGGAACACTTTCCACCCAACGGTCTAGCTCAGTTGTGAGAACAGCACTCCCATCATGTATGGGACATGCCGCTCTGTACGGGGACGAAGAAGACCCATTTCTCTTCCTTGCCAATATGGGATTTCTTCTGGAAGATGACACTGACCCCACAGTGCCACGGTACTCACATGCGGATGTGAGCAGAAAAGAGCGTGCTCCCTTCCAGCCACAGCCCTTCAAGGTCTTTCTCCACGGTTAGGGAGGGTCAGGAAGGGCAGCCAGCCCTTCGTGTGTGGCCTGAGCCTGGTTAGCATATTTCACTCTTCATCACTCAGCCATGCCTCCCATCTGCACTGGCTCTAGATGTCTCTCCCTCCCCTCTCCTCCCCTGGCTTCTCCTTGCATAGACTGATTTTGTGATGCATCCAAGGGAAGACAGTGAAAAAGACATTAAGACAGTTAACTCCTGCCTGGACAAGAAAAAATGCTCCTAATTCTTTGCCACCCATAGAGCTAAGCAAATCCACCTGCCTTCTACTACATGCAGCAAACTGATGCTGACCATCTCCTTACAGCCTTGTGCAGGGGAGCACATTACTGAGGAACAGTCATGCTAAATACATGACACAGAATGCATGAAAGGAAATCACTCTTATCACCAGCTTTTCAGTTCATAAGGCCTCTGCAGACAGATGAAGATTTTGCCTTTATATGTCTCATTTTTATCATTCATGTATCACCCTCTCTCTTTTTCCTTTGTCTCCCCCTCCACTCCCAGCACCTACCCATGTCGACTCCAGGTTTCAGCCTTTTGCAGCTGGCTCAGCCCATATCTCTGAAGCCCTCAGTGGCTCTTTTTTCTCCACCTGGGAAGCAGTTATGCTTATCCACTTCGGACAAAATGCTATTTCCACTTAACATACCTAAGAATAGCCTGGGGTGTTGTTAAATACGAAACCTAATGTGAGAGAGCATGCGTATGGACTGCTTTGCTTGGCCACACACAGCTCAAGGAGAGCCATAGAGGATCTGCATCCCCTGGGACTGATCTAAAAGAAGCAGCAGCGAGAAGGCGTCTGGAGGAGTCCATCCATCTCTCTCCCAGCAGGGCGCTAAGCAGCTACACTAACAGCAGCTGACAGTGGGAGAGTTAATGGGTGTGTGCATTAGCCTACATAAGCATGTTTAAACTAGGAGGGCTCTGCAGAAATCAAAGGGGTTAAATTTCTAAGCCTCCCGTTCCAGAGATCATGAAACTATCACAAAGAGACTTCACATCATCATGGTTTTTTACCTCACTCATCAGTGCAAACTCTAATGCATATGTGCATACATGGGTGTCTCTGTATATGCTGCTCAAAGTAATTTTTTTAATTTCTACCCCCAGAAACATAGCTCTACTACATGCAAGATAAAGGAGGGGGTTATTTCTTTAAACTCAGAAATTTTCAAGTTTAAGCTGACCCCTAATCTGTCCACTGGTCCAGGACAGAGTCAGCAAGCAGCTCACCATGGCTTGCCAGAGGTCCAACACCAGCTACCTGGTCGATCTGTGCCATAGCACTGGAAAGTTACGGAGACATTTTTTAACTTGGCATAAGCAATAGACACTGCTATTGGACTTAACAACAGATGCAGAGCCTTGAAGCAAATATTTCATGATAAACAAGAAACCCGAGTAAATGTGTATAGATATATAATCAATTATGGATGCACCTGGGACCAGAGCAAGATCTAGAGAACTTGGTTTTAGGAACAGTATCCAGAGTAAATACTTCTCCCCCCAGGTCTGACCTCTGACATGTCCTCATTCAGCTCAGCATTATCTAGGAGCTTAAACTGCCCTAGAAAGCTTGAACCACGTGGGTTGGGAATAGGAAGAGGGAATGGGAGTGAAGCCAGACCGGGAGAGCAGAAAATCTCTCCTGTAAAAGCTTGCAAGACCTTTACGGTTCATCATAATGGCTTTCTGTTGTTGTAGTTGCAGGGATCATTTTTTAAAACAAAGAGATAACGTTTGGTTCATTTCTTTCATTTTGGAAAAGGGCAGCTCCTAAGCCCTTATCGTTAAGAAATAAGAGCAGTGTTACATGTTCAAACAATTTATGTGAAGATCCTGCCATTTGTTATGGGAACAGCAAGTACAACTGCAAGTCCATTATCATCCTTCCCTGCCTCTGCATGCACAGCATGAGCAAGTGAGGAAGATTAGGGGTAAAAGCAATGGAGCCTGCAAAGTCAGTGACAAATATTCAGTACTTAAAACACTCTTTGATGCTTCCCACTCTGAAGTGAGACTTTGATTTGGTCAGCGGTCAGACGTGGACCCACTGATTTTTCTCCAATTTACTCTCAGTCTCAAAAAACAGCAACCTCTTTTTGTGATGTGATGGCTGAGAAGCAAGTGACCCAACACCACTGCAGTACTCTCCCAATGGCCCCATGAGCAGTGCTGACAGGAGGTGGGCAGCTGAACTGATACAGATAAGTTAATAATACTGGAAAGAGTTCCTGGACACCTGCCAATGTTAAAACCTGCCAGTGATATATGCCTTTTTACTTAAAAAAAATCACAAGGCAATTGGCATTACATTCTGGTCTTGTTTCCAAACCCACACTTCCTGTGACCTCCACTCCCCATATCTTCACCCTCCCACTCACAGCTAATCTCTCCCTGCCTCTCCCCACTCCTCTGTTGTTTCTGCAGACAACACATTTATGCTGCTGCGAGCCTGCAGCAGCAGACAGACCATTTCTCATAATAAACCACTCCTGGCTGCACAGCCAGGCTGGGCCCTGCCACGTGAGCAGTCAGGAACTCACGGGTTTTCAAAAGAAGCAGCTTTGCAATCCAGAAAAAAATCCCTACATCTCCTGTAAGAAAAGCCAGTGCCAGGGCAAGCACAGAGGGCTGGAGGAGGAGGTCAGCAGGGACAGGGTCCTCTGGTACAGCCCTCTATGGCATCCCACACGGTGAGTGCTCAGCAGTGAGCCCAGGGCGAGCAGAGAGAAGAAAAGCCACTTATTGATGGGCAGCAAGGAAGGGCAAGGCCCCTGCTGCAATTACTTAGCAAAGTTTAGCAGCCTTTAAACAAAGAGAAGGTTTCTGGGGAGTGATCGTGACCAAAACAGCAATTTAAGGAGCCTCCTGGGAGTGTGCTCTAGCTGTGCCAGCACATCCTTCTGTTCAGTGCTTCTGTCCACAGACATCATGAGGGAGGGAAGAAGAGAAGGAAGGGAAGGGGCCTGTCAGGGCAGTGGCAGATGCCGGCACAGGTTTCAGAGGCAGCATCCATGGGCAGGTGTCCCACGGGAGGTGACTGTTTCCTACACAGAAGCCAGCAGCAGCAGGGGGGGCGACCCTGCCACCTCTCTGCCCCTGGCATCTCAGAGATGTGGTGGTGATCCCAGCACAGAGTTGGGGTCCAGAAAGTCTCCAGAGGAGCACCACCTGTCTCCAGCATGCAGGGCTGTGACTGACAGGGGAGGGACCTGGATGGCAGCAATGCCCCCTTCAACCACGGCAGCTGAAGCGATGGTGGAGCAAGTGACACCATGGCATGACTCCTGCCAGGAATGCTTGAGTGTGGCAAAACCAGCCAAGGAACCTTACCTGGGTAGACAGTGAAATAAAGTAATGCAGCAATGAGACCCTGGATTGATGAGGTGCCAGGGAACTGATGGGGGCCCTCAAGCTGTGGATCACACCCCATTATGGGCTCAACTGCTTTTGGAAAGAGCAGAGTGTGGAAGGAAACCACATCAGGGAGCAGAAATCCTACGTGGGCAGCAGAGGAGCACCTTGCTGGGGGAGGAAAAGAGGAACAGAGGGAAGTTGCTGTACTTGTTCATCATAAGCTCAGCCCCTCCTATAGCATTCTCCTGTCTGTAGTATCTTCCTCCCTCTTCGGAGGGAAAGATTTACAAGCTCAGTTGATATTATTAATTTCACTGGAAATTTAAGAGGGAACCACCTGTAAAAGTGTTAAAACAACAAAAGAAAAATAGCAGAGGGACAGGGCTGCTAGATACGGACAGTTACAGATGTCTTTGTCTGCTTGAAACAGAAGAACCCACAGCATACTCCAGTCACCTGCACCAGCAACAACAAGAGACAGAAAAGGAAAAAAAGGCATAATTTAAGGATGAACAAACCTCTCGGCTTGGAGAAATCTGTGTCCCTCCACACCTGAGCTCAACTGCTTGCTGCAGGTCCCTGCAGCCCTCCCTGTGCCAAAACAGACCTGTCATGAGGGGCCAACACAGCTACTGTGCCAAGCCTAAGTACAGCATGGTCAATTTTAAACAAATTGAGATGTGGTAGAAAGTAACATTGCTGTGGGAACAGAAGCTTTTCTCTCTTCTGGCTGTCCTGTTGGAGTCTCAGATGCTTTGGACAGTGATCAATGAGAGGAAAACAACAGCATTTTCCATCTGAACTTGCTAAACAGGCACACTGGCACAAGCAGCTGTTAAACCAGGGCATCCCACTGGCATCTTCTTCCCGGGAATCCATGGCTGGAGCAAGATAAGTCCTTCTACAGAGGCTTGGGAAATGCACCACGTTATAAAATAAGAAGTTTTGTACGAGTGAGAGAAGAATCAAAGTGGTGCTTTCAGATAACACCACTTTCAGTATCAAAACTGTGGTGTCAAGGCACCAAGTGAAGGCTGCCAGAGGGCACAGCCAAAAGTGCAGTGAGACATGGAGGAATTGATGGCAGCAGCCTCCAGAACAGCACTGGCACCCCAATATGTGGCAGGATTCAAGGCCAGACACCTGGAGGGTCCAAAGGCCCCATCTCTGCAGAGGAAAGAGAGACATCTCAAAGTCAGGCTACCAAAGCCATTTGGAACAAAAAAAAACAGTGCAGAGGAGAAAAAAACATCACTTTATAGGAGTGAGCAGCAAATGAATACTCTGAATATTAAGTCAAAAAGGACACAATCCCTTGGGAACAGAGGGATCATGAGGTATGGGAGCTCAAAAGAGGGCACATGATCAAACTTCCCAGCCTGAATGGCTCCAGCAGAGCCACGACTCAGCAATGTGGATTATACTGGCTACCCTACAGCTTAAAAAATGGCCTGATTTCAAGTAGTCCTGAGTATGCAGCAGGTTCTCAATGAAAATTTAATCCATATTTCAAACTTAGTAAGTGCCTAATATCCCCACCTTAAACTGTACTCTGAAATCACCTCCTCAGGAGTCAGCTCAAGGTTCATGTGCACACATGTGACTGGAGTGCATCCTCATGTTCAGTCTCTCCTCTGCCAGGGAAGGCCAATCCCTGCATTCAGCTGTCCCTGATACATCCCCTCAACCTCTCCTGCTTCAACACCACAGAAGCATGGGCACACACCACTGCAGATAGTGGGAGGCCATGCTCAGAGCACTCAGAGGTGCTCCTGAGCATCTCTACACCCGCTGCTTTACCTCACCTCTCTGCTTCTGCTGGTGCCTCACTCACACCAGGGCTACCAGCTGTGTCCAAGGCGTGTTGGCAGGGACAGGTCTCTCAGGAGCAGACAGCAGGAGGAGAGGAGAACTGACCTTCCAGTAACAGAGGCTGGATGAAAGCATGACTGTAAAATAAGGCACACGCCAGCCGCACGTTGCTGTGAAATCGTTCCTCCCAAAAACACCCAGCCTGATCAGCCGAGTGCTGGGACTGCTGCAGAAGACTTCAATCTGTTATGGTAGTGCTGGAGCCTAAAGCCATGGTGAAGGCAGTGCTTGCAACACAGAGATGTGCCTAAGCCCCTGCTCTGTGCACAGTGCACCTGATGGTGCCATTGCCTGGTGCTAAAATCTGGGCTTTTTGCCAGAAAACTCATTCTTTTTCCGAAGTGAAGGAGGCTTTCTCATGCATTACCAAAACAATCCTGTAAATTCTACCTCAGCCTTTCCTTTGGAGTAGTCCAAACCTCTGTAGGTTCCTACAGAGATTCTCTTTCTTTCCAAATGCTAAGAAGAATGGGGAGACCCTTCATGGCTCATTATCCTTGCTCTCCACCAACACAGAACTCCTCTTCCTCTCTACCCCACAAATCTGGATAGGGGATCTCTGACAACAGGGACTGACACCTATGAAGTGGTTCAGTGTCTTGGCAGCAGTGAGCAGGAAACTCAGAAGCTTGTGGATCCTGTGGACATGAGTCCAGCTCTCTGTATCTCCTAACACATTTTACAGAATTTAATTCATACAGTTCAGCACATGTTGGCAGAGATTTGCAACAGACGGATCACCACAAAGGTGCCTCTCCTAGAGAGTTCACCGTAATTCCCCAGTGTCTGTAACTTAGTCCTGTAATTGAATGAATCAGCAGAATTTTCTATCACTTATAAAGAACAAAAGACTTAAAATTTAACCTGAGCGACCTCTGAGGGCTCAGATCCATAGACACAATAAAATTCATGGCAGAGAAGGACACCAACACATTTATTTGGTGTTTTCATTACCATTTTTTTCATCTAGTCTTATAATTTACGAGACAGGGAGATCTGACTCATGCCTTTGGAACGTTTGGGGCTGGCAGGAAAAGATGCCCCATACATGCTTGTACCTCGCTGTGTCTGAAAAGGTCAACAGCACTCATTAAGTGGGTGTCAGTGCTCTCGGGGATAAAGCACCCACACAGCTGGCCAAGAGGTGCAGAGTGAAGCTGCAGTGTGTATTAGGTCTTATGGAGCAGGATGCTAATTCACTGAGGAGGGGCTGACCCAAATATGCAGCTTGGTCTCCTTCTGTCTTTGTAGTCTTCTGCCATCCTGTGATGTAAGGCTTATGCAAAGAAAATGTTATAATAAAAAATGTAACAATAAAATGTTAGAATATCCAGCATATTCATGTACGTGCAGTAGAGGTAAGAATACGAGATTTTTTTTCTGCAAAATTCACTGTCATCACTCTATCTAGTCAATAGCACCCTTTTACACCACTCAGGCAAATTTCCATAGTCAGCTAAAGAATTCACCTAACGAACAGATTATGTTACAATTTGCTTTTGGGACTGAAATCCCTACTTACTGCTCATCTGTTTCCAAATAGTCATGGAACCTCTAGATGGGCAAACCTGAAAAAGAAAAAATACAAAAAACCTCATCCATTTATATGCTAAAACATCAGAGCTGTCTATAAAATGAAAGCTTTCTCCTTGCTCTTCTTAGAAAAACAAGCATACAAACCAACCAACCAAATGTACTTGAAATCATGAGCGTATAAAGAAGGTTTTTTTTCCTATTATCATAGAAAGCAGGATACAATGCATAGTACCAAAAGGTTCTCAGCTATGCAGCTCTAAAGGGGTTTATGTCAGAAACACTGCAAAAACAAACATGGCATGGAGCTATGCAAATCCAGGGTGGTTTGCTGTGGCTCAGTCCTATTATCCAAATTAATGATGCTGTGGTGTCACAGCTGCACACCCCCACAGGGTGGGTCTCCAGCAGGGCTCTCCTGTATCCATGGAGCTGACACAGCCTCCAGAGGAGCAGCCCCAGGCTGTGGGGCCAGGGTCCTTCCTCATCCCTGTGGAGGGGGGAGTGGGGCAAAAAACAGGGAGTGCGGGAAAAGGGGAATCTTTGTCACAGCTGTTGAGGTGGAAGAGAAAGGAAGAAAGTTTAAGAGTGAGGAACACTGAATAGGGAAATTCCTCCCTCTTACCCCTTCCCAGCAGGAGCCACTTCCCTGCATCCCCTCAGCCTCCCTCCACAGCTCCACCCAGATGAGTTTCTCATGGCTGGAGGATGGGCAAAGCAAATGCTGCTGATGGCAGCTGGTTTTCTGCCAGAGGTTTGCGTTGCCTGTGTCCGACACCGGCCCTGAGAGCTGCACTTTGTATCTGGTTATTATTGTGTGATTTTATTTCAAGCAGATATCCCAACCTAAAACCTGATGGTGGTTGAAGCCCCCTGCATGGACCAAAGGTAGCTAAGAAAAAAAATCATCTGTTAATTTGGTAATAATGACCTTTATTATCCAGAAATTAATAAAAGTTATGCCCACTAACACACATTTGATCATTGTATTGGATCATACTTCTGAAGCCTGCTTAAGCCAGAGACATCACAGTCATTATAATGCTGATTTTACCAGGCACAGTTTTTGGAAATCTTTCCTCTTTTTTTGGACCTGCACTACCCATTTTCCTGCCTCTTCCCTGGCTACCGTGCCCAACAGCAGAGAAGGAGAGAGATGAGGAACTGCTGTCAGCACTCCAGATGCTTCCACAGCAGACAAAACCTCAGGATTCACCCCACAGTATTTCTTCACCTATAAGGGTTGCAGCTAAGAAAGGCTCTTCTGCATGAGATTTGGAGAGGCTCTCTCCTCTAATTCCCTGAAGAAAATCCAAAAGCAGAAAGCGAGACCAACATTGCACTGGTATATTGGCTGATGGGTACAAAATCTTCTGACAAGTCGTTTGCTTGGTCCTGATTGGAAAATATCTTTAATTAAAACACCACATCAGAATCCTGAACCAATTTCATCCCGGCCCCGCTAAGTACTTTGTACAAAACATTAACTCTAAAATCTCATTACACATTAGCAATCCCTGTGACAAACATAAATGATAATTTAGCTCTAATGCATTCTGGAGCAAGCCATTTTTAAGATAGGCACACAATATCAGCTTGCTAGGAGAAGGGGAAGAATTGAATTTATCTGTCTCTTTATTTTTTAAAGAAATGGCTCTAACTGGCTCAGCAATGGGCTGCACAAATCATTGTCATGTGTAGATCTGATAGTACATAGCAGCTGTTTAGCCCAAATCTGGCACTTGAGCCTGGGCTGGGTTTTGAAATCCTACCAGCAGCGCTGAGCTCCCAGGTCTTTAAGCATTCAGAGGAAGGAGACTGGGATGTCTCTTGATTTTACAGAACAGCAGGAAGGGAGATCTATCCAGAGACTGCAGGTAATGTGGGCTTGCTCAAAAACACAGGGCAAGGAGAAGGTGGAACTCGTGCCTGCTGTCACTACATCTGGCTTCCCAGGAAAGAAGCACGAGTGCAACAAAGGCAACACCTGCAGTAGTGATGTGATCCCCAGCATTAGTGGGAACTTTGCACCACTAAACACTGCACAACCCAGCCAGGACAACAGAGGACATTGCAGTGGATAATAGTTATATTAAGTACAAGAACTGTCTTAGCAGCACTCCTCAGGCCAGAGGGATGGTAGTGGAACTAATGTTATTTGCATTTCTTGTCAAAAAGATATTAAATATCCCTTCTTCGATTAGCAGCAACATTTTCAGCCTCTCTCTAGTCTTGAAAATGACCTTTCTAAACTCCTCAGCATGCACCTTGATCAATTTTCCTGTGTGAAAGTGAGCACATGGGCTGTTAATTTTGTGAAATGGGGAATTTATGGTTATTTACTATGGAATTATGAAGCATGTACATAATAAATATTATACAGGGGTTTTAAAAATAGGCAAGCCCCAAAATACCCTTGAAATACTACCTACCAGATTTGGTCATTTCCTGGAAATCTAAGAGCTGGAATCACTTTTTTTTTACTGGCTGAATAGAAGTTACCGAAGTTTTCAGTGAAGGGAATGCTTTTCCCTCATCTGATCTTTTCTGGCTGCACTAAAAATCACAGATTATTTCTGATTAAATTTTGTTTGGGGGGAGGGGGGTGGAAGGGAGCAGATCACCTGCATCCACTCCCTTGTCAGAGCTGAAAGATATGCATTGGGCCTAATAATCAAATGATGTTTCCTCTGTTGCAACTGTAGAGAAAAATGTGCAAATCAAAATAAACTTGACCTGGGCAATGTGCATCTCTCTCCTGTAAAAAGACTTGAAAACCTATATTTGGTCTAGCAAGGAAAAAAATCCTCCTAAAACTTACTGCAGGATGGGTGATGGGTGCAATCTTCAACCAGCTCTTCTTTCAAGCAGCAGTCATGCTTTACTTTGCCCTACAAAAGTGTAAAAATTATTTCTGCCAGTTTAATGGGTGTCCACACGTTAGCTCCATGTGCTTTTGAAGTATCATTCTTGTGTGGTAGAAGAAGGAAACTAACCACATTAGATTTAAAAAAATAAAAAATACTTCATTTTTTCTTGCAACTGAAATGCCATTCTGTGATTTTCCCTATTTCCAGTCCTGGAGGAGCTGCCTGCCCATCTGTACTGGGGCTGTTCCTCCCCTTTCCTAGAGCTCTGCAAGAGGTGTCAAGTCCAGTCATCTCCGTAGAGAGATCTACTAAATATTTGGCATTTCGCTTACACCTCTGTTCCAAAACATTTGAAAGCTACCACACAGATCAGACAACCAAGTTCTGCTTGAGAGTCAGGAAAAAATGAGAAGCCCCAGAAGAGGATTTTGTGAAAAGGCAACGATCTTGCATGTAGGGAAGCTGACAGCAGTCAGGTGCTGGGTGGTTGCCTGGGTACCGCAAAGCCAATAATTCCTTGGTTTTTACTGCTTAATAATAGTAGCTTGGGGTTGCAGCTCTACCTGTGTCTTAGTCTGCAGTTAGACCAATGTCCCAAAATCATTCAGATTCTTTGGAAGACTTTTCCTTGAATAATAGAATATCCTGAGTTGGAAGTTACTCACAAGGATTACCAAAGTGCAACTTCTGGCCCTGCACAGGACAACCCCAAAAATGCCACCACATACCTAGTGGAGTTGTTGAAACACTTCTTGAGCTCTGTCAGACTGGTGCTGTGACCTCTTCCCTGGGGAGCTGTTCCAGTGCCCACCCACCCTTTGGGTGAAGAACCTTTTCCTAATATACAGCCTAAACTTCCCCTGACACAACTTCAGGACATTCCCTCATGTCCTGTCACTGATCACCACAGAGAAGAGATCAGTGCCTGCCCCTCCTCTTCCCCTCATGAGGAAGTTGTAACTGCAGTGAGGTCTCCCTCAGTCTCCTCTGGGCTGAACAGACCAAGTGATCTCAGCTGCTCCTCGCATGTCTTCTCTTCAAGGCCCTTCGCCATCCTCCTTGTCCTTGTCTGGACACTCTGTAAGAGCTTTATGTCCTCCTTACCTTGTGTCACCCAGAACTGCCCCCAGCACTGGAGCTGAGGCTGCCCCAGCTCAGAGCAGAGCAGGACAGTGCCCTCCCTTGCCCAGCTGGCCATGCTGTGCCTGATACCCTCAGGACAGGGTTGGCCCTCCTGGCTGCCAGGGCACTGCTGGCTCGTGTTCAACTTGCCAGTGACCAGGACTCCCAGGTCTCTTTCCACAGCACTGCTCTCCAGACTCACTTTTCCCATTCTGTGCATGTATCCAACTTTGCCCCATCCCAGATGCAGAATCCATCACTTATCTTTGTTAAACTTCATACAGTTGGTGATGACATAGCCCTCTAATTTTTCTTGGAGACTTTCTGGCTAGCCCACAGTTTTTCATTTCTTCATTTATAGTTAAGCTTTCCTGAATTGTTCCCCCTCTAGAGGATTTGTCTTCCAGACCACCGTGCCATCCTGTCAGGTCTCAACATAATTTTTCTTCCCCTTGCCACACCTGTGTGCTTGCTTTATAGAGGCAATTAGACTAAAATATCATATTTGGTAAAACTTTCAGTAACAAGCAGCATGATGTCAAGGCAGCTCTACTGCTGTAGCTGCACATGGGTTAGGTAGCTGTAGTCTTTTTCTTTTCTGGCTTTCAAACAGAGTTCAGTCAAAAATTGTTGCATGTTGTCCACAGAAGGGGTGGGGAGTGATCTGAGGTGATAGCTTCTTTTGTCCTCAGCATGGCCCTTGGCTAATCTTTAAATCACGTCTGCAGGCTTTGCAGAAGTGAGTCCGTTTTGAAGGGGACCAGCATGATAAACACTGCAGGGTGGGAACAGGAGCTGTGCTTAAATTTGTGTTTGGCAGTGACAATCAGCATTATCAAGTGATGCTTCATTAGCCACGTGAAGAACTGAACAACGCTGTTGCTTTATTTGCAGCCTTCTGCCTCAGTTATATGCTGACCTTGGTCCACATAACTCCAGCCATAACACTGTCCTTTGACTATTCATGACACGCTTCACAGCTCTGCCTACATACCTGTGTCTGCATGCATACATAGCTGTGTCCCACACCTTGGGACCTGACCACCCTTGTTCAAAGGCAGCAACTCAGCCAAGGGAGCTTAAAAAAAATAAAAAGGTTCAACTTGTTCTTCTCCTTAGTTCAGCTTATTCTTGTAGAAAGTTACTGCCTGTACTTTGTGCCAAACACATGTTCAAAAACTACATTTGGTTCACATCAAGAGGGATTTTCTTCTCAACATTGCTCCAGCAGAAAGTATAAGCTTCACCCAGTGCAGTGGAACATATGATATTACTCCAAAAATAGTCCACTACTTCTTCAGCTTGAGAGTAACCAAGTTACATGTTGGAGAGAAAACCATCAGC